AAACACAATTTATATATAATTTATACTACATTAATTAACATTTATTTATTACATTAAAATAAACATTTTATTTAAATTATGACATTTATGACAACATAAATATATTTATTTTATAAATAAATATATTTTATTTTATTTGGCAACAAATATTATTTTCATTAATGTCAAAACAATAATAATTATTATTGTATATTATATTAATTATAATACATATATATATATATAACAAATATAATAAAACATTTCTATACTGTATAACAGTGTTTCCCAACCGGGGTGCCGTCTGTCGAGAGCAGGGGTGCCGTGTAAAAAAATCATTTTTTAATATTTTTAAATTGCTAAAATGTTCAAAAAAGCATCTATTATATAATATCCATTTCTGATGTCGCCAATAATTAGAGATGCACCGAAATTTCAGCTGCCGAAAATTAGTTCACCGCTCAGGTTTCACTGTCACGTGGTGTGACGCTCTGCGTATTATCCCGCTCTATGTGTGTGCGCTCCGCTCAGTCGCTCCACTCGTATACCGTTCATGTGAATCGGAACAGCAAAGTCCACACAAAAATTGAGCTGTCAGGAAACATCGATGTAGGCCTAGTACAGTATTGTTTCTGTCTGCAATAGCTCTACTCTGTTGTAACATGGTGTGGTATAGCCTGCTATGGGCAACTCTGGTAACGCTGCCCTCTCATTCATTGATCTGCTAACCGCTGTTATGCTCGCGTGTTCTGATAATAATAGCTTTCTAGGACTAAACATTATTTGGATAATTGGTAAAAAAAAAAAAGTGAAATATCTTAACCCTACTGTTAGACCTACCTGAAAAACTAAAAAGCAATTTATTTAATTCGAAGGCCTATCGTTATTTTTTATTTGTGCTATCATTATTAATTTCTTTATTTGTTCTTATTTTATTACTGACTGCTTACTTGTCATTTTTTATTCAATTTTTATTCACCAAAATTACCCCACTGTAAAATTAAAAAAACACTGAGTGAGCAAAAATTTGTGAGATAGCTAGTTATAATGGTAATTAAATGTTTACATATGTATAAAATCCTACATTAAAATCTGTCATGTAAATTGGTCTCTTCATTAGAAATTAGCCTACTGATTGCCACCATTGATGGACACATTTTTTAAATAATATTAAAAATATCTGTATGACATTATATTCTGCAGTTCTTCTCTGTTGTACCGAATATCTATACTTTTCAAATTATCATATCGAAGTTAGAAATTCAAATATTGTGACAAAATTAATTTTGTAGGGTACCACAAGTTTGTTAAAATTTCCAAAGGGTGCTGCGACTAAAAAAGGTTGGGAAACACTGCTGTATAATATATAATGATTGCTTATATATAGTTTATATTTTTATTGCTTATATATATAGTTTAATATTTTTTCTAAATATCTAGATATCTTCTAATATCTAAATTGATACACACACACACACCCCTCTTGTATAATGTATACTACATAAAAAACATGTATTTATTAAATAATAATAATTAAATATCCCATAATACCCCATCAGCCATTGAGCAGCTCCGTGTTCATGTACGACGTCACAAAGGCATGAGAAAATTTGAGTGTACTGAATGTGGTTACAAGTTCACCAGACAGGTATGAATTAGATGTATCTATGGATTAACATATATCAGAAAAATTACTTTTACATTTCCTACTTGATGTCTAAGATCTCAGCATCTCTATCCTGCTTTTGACAGGCGCATTTGCGACGACACTCACAGATCCACAACCGTGTGGAGAACTACAACCCCAGACAGAGACGCTTACGTAACCTGGTAGTGGAGGACGAGAGTGCAGCTGCTTCATCTAGTCCTCCCAGCCAGGCAGAGGCTCAGGCTGAACCAGCAGACATGGTTAACCTAGTTATCCAGCCAGAGGTGGTTGTGGTGGAACAGGTCATCTCTGCTGGAGGAACAGGAGGAGAGCAGGCCACATGTTCAGTGACTGATGGAGCAGTGAGTGGTGAACAGACTGAGACTGGAAGGACTGATGGTGGAGTGGAGCAGACTCCGTTCACTGTAGCAGATGTGATGGAGCAGACCCTGCTGGTGACCGATGCATACCCCATCCATCAGTCCAGTGTGGTGGTGGAACTGCCCAGCTCTGCAGCTGATGGGAAAGTCTAAATGAAGGGACTTATTGACTCCAGAGCAACAAAGTATGCAGTTTAAAGGGTTAGTTCATCCAAAAATGACAATTCTGTCATTATTTCCTCACCCTCATGTCGATCCAAACACGTAAGACCTTCGTTCGTCTTCGTAACACAAATTAAGATATTTTTGATGAAATCCGAGAGCTCTCTAACCCTCCATAGACAGCAAGGATCCTACCACGATCAAGGCACAGACAGGTAGTAAGGACATCGTTAAAATAGTCCATGGTCCAACTGTAATTTTTGTGCGCAAATAAAATAAATGAATGACTTTATTCAATGACTTCTTCTCTTCCGGGACAGTCCTCTGCCATTATTGACGCATGCGTCTGGTGCTGCTAACGTAGAATTCACCTTGATTACAAGCAGAGGAAAGCAATGCGCATGTGTCGGTCATTATTTTTGTTTTCTTTGCACACAAAAAGATGAACAAAGGTCTTACGGGTTTAGATCGACATGATTAATGAGACATTGTAAATAAATAGCTTTCTTGCATTAATTTATTATCTTCAAAGAACATTTCAGTGGACCTGGTTGTATCAAGCATTTCCATAACTACATTTTTGTGATCAATAGATTGCCTACCGGAGTCAGTAAAATTCATTTGAACCTAGCTTCTGCAAAAATGTTTATCGGTTAACCAACGTTTTTCAGTAAGACTGTCTACAACTATTAATTGAAAATGTTCTATCGCTGTTTGGATGGACAGACAACTTAAAAGCTTTTTATTATATAATGAAAAACGAATGCACTATGCCTCTCTTATTTGTACTTGCACTTGAAGTTACAAGATGTTTGACAAAATTGGATACAACAACATTTGACCAAAGTTCTTGTAAGACTATTATAAAACAAGAAAACAGTCATGAGCTTCATGTATACTTTTGATTTAATGGAATAAACCATTCTAATATTGTCATAATTCTAACTCGATGGAAAATTGTATATATCTAACAAATCTGAAGGGCTGCGCAGAACATTTGAACCTTAAAACTGTATGTCGGACAGCTCTCCTGTAATTGTGATCTTACTACATATACACAAGAAAAGCACAACAAGTAACAGTGCTGGCCTGGCAGTTATTTATTGATTGACCACACAAACAAACATTACACAAATCATCGCCTTGTCTGTATCGTACGAATGATTTTGGCTACAAAACAAACTAAACATTTTGTAAGAAAAATAAAATAAACATCAAGTACCGCTTAAGCGTGTATCGTCAAACACATACATTTACTCAAGAATAACGAGATACTTAATTACTACTTCCAGTTATTAGTACAGCATCTGAATACAATTTGACATAAAAATACAATACCTTCATTCATTCCTCATGTTGTCTTCATGACATCAATACATTTATTAAGACAGCTTAATAAACACAAGATGTTTCTCATAAACTGTAACACACCTTCCTTTAAAATAAACTATGACTAGATAATAAACGTAATTTAATATTAAAATATGAGTTGAAAAGCAAGTCGGATACAAATTCACAAAAAATGTGATCACTGCATGCACGCTAGATTGTCTGAAATATGTAATTCTAGCAAGATGAATATTAAACAATGGGTTATGCTGGGACACAGTTATGTTTATCTGTCAAAAAATTATGTTGTTTTTGGAAAATCTTGAATTCTCCTAAATATTTAATTTCAGACTTTTCACTGTGTCTATAAAATAACATTTGTTATCCACATTGCAGAATCCTGTCGAATCACGCTACTTTCGCCTTTTGGAATGATTGGGTCTCAAAATTATATATTTTTTAAAAAGCAATTTTACTTCACATTAGGTTATGTCATTTGTATTATATTTTTTGTGGATGTTGACTTGAAGTTGCAATGCTGTAGATCACTTTAGGAGGTCCATGCTGAATTATAAAATAAATTAAAAAAGAAAAATGATCATAACCTTCATGCAATTTCCATGGTATGGATTGCTTGATATTCGCCAAACATGATTTCACTATTTCATCAGTCAGTCTCTGTTCAAGGTAAACACAGTCAGCATTAGAAATGCATGCAACAATTAAAGCTGTAGTAACACTGAGTTACAGGGAGAAATAATGCAAACATTGTCCATTCACCAGCTCCCTTTGCTGCCCAGTTGAGGGGAATATGTCATAAAGTGCAAAACACCTAGTAGCAACATCACATTGAATAACCTTCAGTCTCATGTTTCGAAAAGTTCTCAATGCACTTCATTGACATCTTGGTTGCGGTTCTGATTGACATTGTTGTTGTGGTTGTGAAGTGCCTGGTTGCGGTGGTGTCTGTGGAGGTGGATGGCGTTGGCCTCAGGTATGTCGATGGGTTCGAAGGTGCTTGGAACAAGAGGCATGAACTGTCGGAATATGCTGACACTTCCATGCCAGAAGGTGGGCTGGGGGAGCCGGCCAGCTGGGGTCCAAGATCGAGTAGAGGGGTCGTAGACCTCCACCACATCAGATAGCTCGAAAGTGTCGTCATAGCCACCGGACACATAGAGTCGACCGCCCAGGGCTGCTACACTGCCTCCAACATGAACCTGTGGAAGGTGAGACTTTTTAGTTATCTGTGTGAATGCCTAATGTGAGTCAATGATGTGATGCTCATATATTGTCCTATTAAATTGTTCAAAAAACCCTATAAAAATGCAATTTATACATAGTGATTTAAATACACCTGTTTTATGATCATGTTTTTAGTTTTTGAATGAACATTTTTATATTTTTTGAGTGTAATACAACTGTCCTGGTATCAAAAAAGAAAAACAAAAATCATATTAATATGATTAATCATAGCAAATAATATCAAATTAAAAGAAAAGAAAATCTTGGGATCTTTTATTATTATTATTATTATTTTTTTATATAATTATTTGTTAGAAAAAATTAATACAAAACTCTATTAATTAGTAATTATTTTTGGTTTGAAATTTGAATTAAATAAAGCGCTTTTTAATTTTTGAAAACTTTTGTCTTTCAAATCCAAGATATGTGGTGTTGCCAGGAAAACATCGTCCAAACAACATGCAGAAATGAAAAGAGAAAAAAAATCTTAAAACTGGAAATTATATCATAGATAGGACCCCCGCAGACCCTCATGACTGGTTGAGGTCAGCGAGTCTCCTAAAATATCCAACCAAATTTCATGGCAATTTGTTTTTTGAGTTGGTAGCTAATTAATATAAATAGTTTTTTATTCAATCTGCTTGTGCCCTAGTGACGGTTGTTTAGAGCAGGGGTTCTCAAGTTCAGAGACCAAGCGGGCTGCATTTAAACTACATAAAATGCGAAGGGCCACAAATTACAATTTGCATCATCAGACTTTATTTAAGACAATATTTGCAGATTTACTGATGTAGAAATACAGTTTATTACTTATCTAAGTCGTGTTTGTCCTATTTAAATTAACACTGAGCATGAATATATATAAATATATATATATATATATATATATATATATATAGTAAAAATCTGGAACAAAAAATTGGATTTGATGCAAAAAAAATGCATTCATACTCAGAGGATTGATCAAACTCAAAATGCTAAAACTAAAAACATTCTTGAGCAAATATAGTTCACAAATTTCTTTAGAAAGTAGTATTATTTTTCATATTTATATTAACTATATTGTATCAATATTTTATTTTTAAAATAGCACTATTTTCCCACCATGATTCTGAAAAAAAACTAAATGACAACTAATCAAAATAACATGTTATTTACATGTTACATGTAAGAAACATGTTAGTTTCTAGTAAAAATTGCTGCAGTCTATTTATAGAATACAATATTCAACAAATTGATAAAAACAAGTTAAACAAATGATTCATAGCTCATAACTTCATGACTTGCTCAAAAAAGACTTCACTTGTTTCATTCCTGAATGAATCAACGTTTTTCGAACTAGTCTCATTTTAAGTCAATTGTCTCCACCTGCTGGCATTACATTGTAATTGATACAATCTTTATTTTAAGCATTGTCACTTTCAAAAAGGTTACTTTATTCTATTTCGATCGCTTCTGTAGACAGCAGTGTTTATATCCAAACTTTTATTCCAGTACTTCTGTGATTATTTGAATGTTTGTAACACAGAAATAACGATACAAAAGACTTTGTAAAGATGTTTCATATAAATGCTCTCTGGTCAGTGGCAGCGCGAACGCAGATTTGAATGTTAAGCCTCGTACACACCGGGACGATTATCGCGCGCACTTATCGCCAACATTTTTCGATGCGTCTTTTGTGTTCATACCCAAGTGATTTTCACTGGCGATGAGCCGAGTGAACGTGCAAATTCACTCCCTTACATTAGATGGCGCTTAATGAAAAACAGAAATACCCCGGTACACATCGAATCCTATTTGATCTGCAATTCCTCTCCATAACAACTCTCTCTTATCGAGATTTTTGCAGTCGCTGTCGCGTTTGTCATAAAGCCCTTTGTGTTCAGACACCAATGAGACCAGCAGCTCTACATTCATCTTGCCTCGATGCATCTTCTTGGTCTACTTACTTCCTCTTCGTCGTTAGGTATCAATGTGTGCTCTGCAAGACCGTGCTTGAGCGCAAGTCGTGTTTTACTGTAACTTCAGCAGCTCCAGGCAGGTGAACAAAAGCGGCAATCTCATTGGTCGGCCAGTTTTTAACGCGGCGCATCAAACCCAAAAAACGAGCCTGAGGCGTTTAAAAAAAAATAAAAAATGCTTTTACGCCTTGCGTTTTGCACGTTGGTGTGCACACTCACATTGGCGCCCTTTGTTTAGTCACGAGGCGTTAAACGTCGGCGATAATCGCGCGCGATAGTGTGAACAAGCCTTTACAGTAGTATAGTTGAATAGTTGAATCATTGTCAATTATGAACAAGATTGCGTGGGTGATTGAATCTGTTTGCGATCTATGTATTTAAATATCCAACAATATAGACCGTAAACATAAGATGCAACAATGGTTTAAGGGTGTTATATCATAATAATAATCCAATGCTAATCGACATAGCCTTTATTTCCATATATAATATATTATCTGCCTCGTTCTGTGACAAAATCCACACATCAGATCACAAATGTTATTTCAAAAAAGTAAAATCATGTTATTAAATGTCTGCTTTTGTTGGACAATGCTTCTCTTTTAAATAGTTTGGACTTAAATTAAATTGTGTCGCTTTTTAATTGCACGTTAGTTACAGCACTTGCAGACAGAGATCAAGCAGCTTTTACTACTGCGATTGTATACATTTAATAAAAAAATCAAACTGGCTAATATTTTTTTTAGTGCAAATTGTAATAAAAATACATTGATCTTCAGCATGACGCAGGCCACAAAATTAATGCAGACGGGCCGCCTGTTGAGTACCCCTGGTTTTAGAGGTACTTACTTTTTTTCCTTAAAAAAAATAAATAAATCGACACTAGGTACAATAGTCACATTTTCTTGTGAGAGTGGGATGAAATCAGATCATTTGAACTTTTTTATGACAAGGTCAGTTCAGGTTGTAAAATGTCATCAAAGGTGTGGTCACGTTAGCAAAATTTCACAAGCAAAAGGGTCCATTGTCAATAGTGATGCAATGGCCAACTTTAAACCTGATGCAAAATCTGTATGGAAAAATGTTTCGTCCTCAAGTGAAATATCAGATCACGTGGATTAGTATTAAAATGACTAAATTTGACCTGTGAAAATTTGTTAAACAATGGTAAATGTGATTGCACCTTAAAAGAGTGAAACAAGTTCAAATTGACATACTTGTGTCATGGGACTAATCTTATCCCAATCGTTTTTCTGTGGGTTGAAGACATCTACTTCTGCCGAATCATCCCTGAAACAAAACCGTTGTCATGAGAAACATGGAAACCTCACTTCCTTTATTGTTTCTTTTTTCTGCGTATCATTAGAAACTGGATATTTAAAATTGTGAGAAAAAACTGAGCGCCTTACCTTACAAAGTAGATCAACCCATTTAAGGTCACTGATTTGGGGGCAAAGGACCAAGGAGGCAGTTCTCCATTGTTCACTAGTGACCAGCAGTTGCTTTCAGCATCGTAGCACTGAATTGCCATTGTGTCCTCTCCGGTTAAACAGCCGATGGCGTAGAGTCGTCCCCTACACGCTGTAGTAGAACAGTTATCCATGGGATGTGGCATGGGCGGAAGGGCCTCCCAGCAATCTAGAGTATGATCGTAACGCTCTGTGCTGTCAGAGGCTACCACATAGAGTTGACCCTTCAGGACGCAGGAGCTGTGGTACTCTCTGGCTTTCAGCATGGGGGAGACCTCCGTCCACTCATTCACACTGGAGTTGTATCGCCAAACGCAATCATACAGACGTGATCCATCTGAACCGCCTGTCGTAAATGAAGCAGGTTTGAAAGCTTAAACACAATACCAAACAGACAAAAATAGAATAGATGTTCTTTCCTATCATTTATCAACCCTATTTTTCAAACTTGCCTACACTAATAGACTAACATTGTGTCACTCTTCAGGGTTACTGCTATAAATTGGGATTGTTTGATTCGGTTAACGGTTGTTTGCAGGCTTGTGTAGCCTGATTACAGAATTAATTACTTCTGAGAATCAGTTCATCTTTTTAGTGAATCAAACATACAGCTTACAACTAAAGGTGTGGACATATTAGAGAAATTTCAGCAAAAAAATATTCGTTATTATTGTCAGTAGTGTGGCGAACTATGAAGCACAGCTCTTGGAAAGTCACATTCAAACCAAGCAGCTTTCTTGAACCTATTTCAAAATCTGAGTAGACTAGAGAAATCTCTCATGCAAAATTCGAGATTGTGGATTCCTACTGAAATTACTGGAGTTTGTCTGTGAAAATTACAATGGTAAAAGTCATTGCACCCTAAAGGTATAGGTTACCTGAAAATGAAAAGTTTTGTCATCATTTACTCACCGTCAGGTCGTTCCAAACCTGTATTTCTTATGTTGAACACAAAAGAATATATTTTGAAGAATGCTGGTAACCAAACAGTTGATGGCCCACTGTCCTTCTTTCCCTACTATGGAAGTCAATGGGGACTGTTTGGGTCTTCAAAATATCTTCTTTTTTGTTCAACATAAGAAAGAAACTATTACAGCTTTGGAATGACATGAGGGTGAGAAAATTACAAAATTGTAATTTTTGGATGAACTAATCCTTCGACTTAAATCAATGCAGTTATTGACTGGTTGTTCATTTTACATGTAGTATAAATACACATTATGTGTTTAGCTAGAAATATTATTAAAAAAAATGATTGAAATATATTAAAAAATTTTGTTTTCTAAGCAATGTTATTTAATAAACAGTTAAGGCTTGTTATTGGAATCCTTAAAGTCATTAAAATGCCGGTGTAAATGCACCTTATGGAAGAATCCTTTCAAATTTATATTGAAATGATCATTTGTAATGGAATTGTATTTACTTTTTACCAAATATTACTTGAAAATAGTAAAAGTATCATTAAATAACCAGAATCATGTGGAATTGGAACCGGAACTGTTGAATTCCATAGTCAGTGCTCATTCACCTTTTTATACACCACTTACATAACAGCAAAGGACTACTTAGAATAGAAGCATCATTTAACCGCATGAGATGGTTTCTCGATTGAAACATTGTCCGTATCTGAAGGTAACGTTTATGTCTCCTGAAATCACATTAGTCACTGCTGATCTGGCAGAACATTATGTCCCATCACCACACTCTTGCATAGCTGAATATACAGGGGTTTATTTATACATTGGCTGCCATGTTGTAAACAGTTTGGAAAGAAGGACACTCTGAGCCTGCCGGGGGATTTGTGCTTTCTTTCACCTTAGCATGAAATAATTACGGCACAAGTTGAACCTGCTTGTTGAGTATGACTTTGTCCCACAAGGAAACGTCATCATTGTACTAACCTGTCACGTATATGTCACTGCCCAGGGCGGCTATGCTGTAGCCACCTCCAAGGTGGTCTGGGAATTCTGCTAAGTATCTCCACTGTCCGGTCTGTGGGTTGTAACAATCCACAGTAACAAGCTCATCACAGTCTTGATCACATCCTCCTACCACCACCAGAATTTCGGCCAGGCCGGTGGACGGACGTGGGCGCATTCGATGACTGGGTCGGTCATGCCGGTCATATTCGTAAGACTGAAAGCTGCGTGCCTCGCTGACTAACCGTAAACAGGCTGGCGACAAGTAGACCAGTGGATCACTCTCTACGTGGGCCAGAAGATAGAAACGGCGAACAAACGGCAGGCGTACTTGCTGCAACAACTCAGGCCAGTAATGCAACCGGTGCTGCAAGTCGGCTTTAACCCAGCGCACGGCAATCTGGTATGCCGTTTCTTCCTTATCCACACACAGTCCGTCATCAGACACAAACTCCAGCAGCCGCTTCCACGACAGTCGTTCAAAGTCCATGCTCTTCGCCAGCTCCACAATGTTTCTCAGCACGAAACGGCGAGCGCTAGCTGCTAGTTCAGAACAGGCGTAAGCCTCTGCGAAGTCCAGGATTTCCAAGCAGTTGGAAACATCAAGTCTCTGCTCCAGGAATGCACAGCATGCTTCTTTGACGGATGGGAACTGGAAGAGGTCCGCTGTCTTGAGCAGGAGGTCCACGTTGTCGTGTGTGACGGTCACGCAACCCGTGTAGCAAAAGTCCACCAGGAGGCCCAACAGTTCAGCTGATACTTCGTGTAGCACCACACGGTCCATGACGCTCTCTCGCAGTGTACCGGCAAACATGGCACGGAAGTAGGTGCTGGCAGCTGCTAGCACAGTTCGATGGCAGTGGAACTCTTTGCCTTCAGCGCACAACGTGACATCGAAGAACTTGCGCTCGGCACGGAGCTCATGGATGCCACGAAGCAAGTTGACCGCGTGGGCTGCATCGAAGAAGGGCAGCATAGAGGGCTGTGTTTGTAAAACTGGTTTCTCCATAGCTTACGGGATTTATCTTGGCGTACGTCTGGTCAGAACTCTGGATTCATCTTTAAAGAGAGAACAGGAGTTTTAGTAGTAGTTTCTCATTTGACTTTGTGAAGTTCTAAAAAAACCCAAATTGAAGTTTCAGCCTACCTGTGTATCTTCTCAAAGCGTTTAAATTTGTGAAAGGGACACAGTAGCTTCTAGAACCAAATATCATGTGGTTATGACGAATGTGTGCAACCGTTGGTCTCTTAAGAACGTGTGCTCGTCGTGTCTGGTCTATAAATACACCAGCAGTGTCCATTTTCACAAACTGGGGGGGGGGGGGGGGGGGTCTCCACACACCCTTTAGCTTCACTTACTGGAGATTACAGAAACTTCTCCACTCTGAGTAACTCCTCATAAAGCAACAAATCTAAAGTAGGTTTAAAGGGTAAGGCTAGTTCAGCCAGAAATAAAACTGTGTGATCATTTACTTTAATCTCGTGTCATTCCATTAGTATTGTTTATTTTTTTCATTGAAGCACAAAGGAAACAATTATCTTTTCCATATAAACATCACTTGTGAAAAGGACAAAAAGGAACAATAAAAGTATCACAGTAGTATACAAGTTGTGTGCTATATTCTAAGTTTTTCAAGGCAGTATGTGAGTGTCGAGTGAGAAACAGATTTTTCTCTCTGTTGTAGCCCTCAAACTCATTTGCCTACATTAAAGGCCCATTTACACCAATAACGGTAACTACATTAGAATTCACATCGGTTTATGATAATGTTCTATTTATTATAAGCATACCATGCAGTTATGTTGTATGTCACTTTAAATGCTTAAAGGGGTCATATGATGCTGCTAAAAAGAACATTATTTTGTGTATTTGGTGTAATGAAATGTGTTTATGCGGTTTAAAGTAAAAAAAAACACATTATTTTCCACATACTGTACAAAAACAGTATGAGTCATTATAATCCGTAATTATGTCCCCACTGGATGCAACAAATGCCTCGTTTATAATGGGTTTTAATGTTTTTGTCTCGTTGCTCCGGCCGGACAGGGCATCACAATATGGTAAGGGGCGTAACATTTCTGTCACACACTTGAGGTATTCGGCCAATTACAACGCACTGTATAGCAGGCCAATCAGAGCACACCTCGCTTTTCAGACTGATGAGCTTTGTAAAAATCAACGCGTTTCAGAAAGGCGGGGCATAAAGGAGAAACAATAATGTACAGTATGAGGAAAATAATGTGTTTTTTGAACCTTAAACCGCATAAACATTTTATTACACCAAATAATGTTCTTTTTAGCAACATCATATGACCCCTTTAAAATGTCACAGTTATAGTTAGCATTATAGTTATGGTCCTTAGTGTGAATGGGTCTTAACGACTCATATTTTGGTCTGTTTATCATTAAAAGCTATTGTATAACTTCAGAAGACACAAAATAATTTTTTTTTTTTTTTTTTACTTGGCAGTATAAATTACCATTCACTTACAATGCGTGGAAAAAAGCAGCTCAGACATTCTGCTTAACATCTACTGTTGTGCTTCACAGAAGAAGAAAGTAATACATATGATATGAGGGTGAAAAACTAATTGACAAAATTTGTATTTTGGGTAAACAGTCCTTTTAAAGTAAGATGAACAAATTCTAAATTATACAATATTCTGCTCACAAGTTATTTCATAAAATGAAAGAGCATTTAGCAGTCTGCATGAATATGCCCTACACTGTTTCTCCTCTATATTCTATTTCTATTCTCAACAAGAGTCACAAGGCAGGTAGCTAAAGTAAGGGATTTTTCAATGGCAGTGTGAGTTTAAAATAAAATTTCCATCTACAGGGTCAGGTATCAAAACAGGTCAGAAAACATGAGTCCTTGAAGGCATAACACAAGCATAGCTTATACTGAAGAGCCATGTGACATTAGGCAGCTGAGCTCAGTGAAGTTTTATGAAGGTTGGCTCATCAAAAAGAATGAGAGAGAGAGAGAGAGGGGCCCCAAAGGGTCAACAAACTGCAGAGAAATAGACCTGCTCTGAACAGCAAAGCTCTACAATTTTCAGTGAGAGACCTACATTATGCATAGCAGGGTTGAGGAATAACGCATTCATTTGTGCATGTACTGGGCTCCGAGAGGCTGGGTATTTTTGGAATGCATTAGATGCCAATATATATTCTCCATAATGCAGCATCTCACAGTGTTGCATATTAGGCAACTTGCATACCAATTTGCTTACTAGTAGTCTGTTTACCAGTCAGTCTGAGAATAGCATGGCTGGCAGTGACCAACACAAGACTTCTCCTGACTTGTCAATACAGTGTCATGATCTATAGTTATGACTTATGAGACATGATTCATGACTATACACAGGAAACGCATCTCTGTGATGTTGTATGGGCTGCCATATCAACTTTAGGGCTTTCTAAAACATTAGATTACTAAAAATCCTGATCTATAAGACAAAATATTTCCCAATAAGCATAACGAAACCATTATTGAATATTTATATATAGTTAGACTGAACTTCAAATGTGTCTGTTTACTGGACCCAACACATTATTTTCCACATACTGTACAAAGACAGTATGAGTCATTATAATCCGTAATTATGTCCCCACTGGATGCAACAAATGCCTCGTTTATAATGGGTTTTAATGTTTTTGTCTCGTTGCTCCGGCCGGACAGGGCATCACAATATGGTAAGGGGCGTAACATTTCTGTCACACACTTGAGGTATTCGGCCAATTACAACGCACTGTATAGCAGGCCAATCAGAGCACACCTCGCTTTTCAGACTGATGAGCTTTGTAAAAATCAACGCGTTTCAGAAAGGCGGGGCATAAAGGAGAAACAATAATGTACAGTATGAGGAAAATAATGTGTTTTTTGAACCTTAAACCGCATAAACATTTTATTACACCAAATAATGTTCTTTTTAGCAACATCATATGACCCCTTTAAAATGTCACAGTTATAGTTAGCATTATAGTTATGGTCCTTAGTGTGAATGGGTCTTAACGACTCATATTTTGGTCTGTTTATCATTAAAAGCTATTGTATAACTTCAGAAGACACAAAATAATTTTTTTTTTTTTTTTTTACTTGGCAGTATAAATTACCATTCACTTACAATGCGTGGAAAAAAGCAGCTCAGACATTCTGCTTAACATCTACTGTTGTGCTTCACAGAAGAAGAAAGTAATACATATGATATGAGGGTGAAAAACTAATTGACAAAATTTGTATTTTGGGTAAACAGTCCTTTTAAAGTAAGATGAACAAATTCTAAATTATACAATATTCTGCTCACAAGTTATTTCATAAAATGAAAGAGCATTTAGCAGTCTGCATGAATATGCCCTACACTGTTTCTCCTCTATATTCTATTTCTATTCTCAACAAGAGTCACAAGGCAGGTAGCTAAAGTAAGGGATTTTTCAATGGCAGTGTGAGTTTAAAATAAAATTTCCATCTACAGGGTCAGGTATCAAAACAGGTCAGAAAACATGAGTCCTTGAAGGCATAACACAAGCATAGCTTATACTGAAGAGCCATGTGACATTAGGCAGCTGAGCTCAGTGAAGTTTTATGAAGGTTGGCTCATCAAAAAGAATGAGAGAGAGAGAGAGAGGGGCCCCAAAGGGTCAACAAACTGCAGAGAAATAGACCTGCTCTGAACAGCAAAGCTCTACAATTTTCAGTGAGAGACCTACATTATGCATAGCAGGGTTGAGGAATAACGCATTCATTTGTGCATGTACTGGGCTCCGAGAGGCTGGGTATTTTTGGAATGCATTAGATGCCAATATATATTCTCCATAATGCAGCATCTCACAGTGTTGCATATTAGGCAACTTGCATACCAATTTGCTTACTAGTAGTCTGTTTACCAGTCAGTCTGAGAATAGCATGGCTGGCAGTGACCAACACAAGACTTCTCCTGACTTGTCAATACAGTGTCATGATCTATAGTTATGACTTATGAGACATGATTCATGACTATACACAGGAAACGCATCTCTGTGATGTTGTATGGGCTGCCATATCAACTTTAGGGCTTTCTAAAACATTAGATTACTAAAAATCCTGATCTATAAGACAAAATATTTCCCAATAAGCATAACGAAACCATTATTGAATATTTATATATAGTTAGACTGAACTTCAAATGTGTCTGTTTACTGGACCCTTGCAACCAGTGGACCTTCTCTGTATCTTCATCTGTACAACTTTAGAATAACAAACCCCTTTATGAACCCCTCAGGGCCCCTCTTCCATCTGGAGAGCCATTGTACACCCTGTGTTTCTCTATAACCCACCAGTGGCCTGCAGTCTAATGTTGCAACCTGACTGAGAGATGTCCATCATAACACAGCTGCCATGGCTCTGCATTCCATCAGCATAAATCCAAAGGAGCAGAGCATGTTTGGGCCTCAGGACAACCACAATCAGGCATTGCTTCACTCTATATACACAGTTAAACCAGTCCTCAATCCATCAATCCATCACATTTATGCTAAGATAGGATTTGTTTCTTTGGTGGGAATCAGTGTATGTATACACACACACACACACACACACACACACACACACACACATACACATACATATACATACATACATACATAAATACGCACATATTGTGTTATATTATATTGTTATATATTTAGCTATATAATAAGATTTTATATAAAATTTCTTCAAGTTATAGATGTTGAAAACTCTTCCTCTACTCTCACCTTCAATTGAAACTGAACAAAAAATAGGTAAGTAGGTAGCAATCGAACCATCAGCACTGCATATAAAATTTATTTGCTTACAAATTTACGGATTTTTTTTTTTTTTTATTGTTTAGATGGCAGTGTGAGTTTAAAATAAAATTTCCATCTACAGGGTCAGGTATCAAAACAGGTCAGAAAACATGAGTCCTTGAAGGCATAACACAAGCATAGCTTATACTGAAGAGCCATGTGACATTAGGCAGCTGAGCTCAGTGAAGTTTTATGAAGGTTGGCTCATCAAAAAGAATGAGAGAGAGAGAGAGAGGGGCCCCAAAGGGTCAACAAACTGCAGAGAAATAGACCTGCTCTGAACAGCAAAGCTCTACAATTTTCAGTGAGAGACCTACATTATGCATAGCAGGGTTGAGGAATAACGCATTCATTTGTGCATGTACTGGGCTCCGAGAGGCTGGGTATTTTTGGAATGCATTAGATGCCAATATATATTCTCCATAATGCAGCATCTCACAGTGTTGCATATTAGGCAACTTGCATACCAATTTGCTTACTAGTAGTCTGTTTACCAGTCAGTCTGAGAATAGCATGGCTGGCAGTGACCAACACAAGACTTCTCCTGACTTGTCAATACAGTGTCATGATCTATAGTTATGACTTATGAGACATGATTCATGACTATACACAGGAAACGCATCTCTGTGATGTTGTATGGGCTGCCATATCAACTTTAGGGCTTTCTAAAACATTAGATTACTAAAAATCCTGATCTATAAGACAAAATATTTCCCAATAAGCATAACGAAACCATTATTGAATATTTATATATAGTT